GCAACCTACAGCATGGTTGCACTGGACGCATCGCAATTAGTGTTGCGTATTTCTGAGTATGAGTACATTGATTAATAGCGTACGTTTCAAGAGTACTTTTCGCGTTTGATTTTGAAAATTTCTTGGTACACAAAATTTTAGCTTCGGCTAGTTCTTGTAATATTAATGAATTAAAAAATATTTTTAATTCGTACAGTAATACTAATATTATATATTAATACAATATATTAACTATAATACATTAATACTGATGTCAGTAATTAATGATGGTTAATAGTTATTAATAATTGTAACCGGTGAACACAATCTGGTTCACAATTGGATACATTACGATTATTGGAGTTAGATATTAATTGAAATTTCGTTTTTAGAACTAGAATAACTAACGTGTTATTCTTGGCCAGGATTGATTTCTGTTTGAATTAATACAACCTTTCATTATAATCTAAAGAATATTATTAGATTCGTTGCGTCATTAGGGCATTAACATTTTATTACCTTTATGATTATACTATTTGTGAAAAGGACTTTTTTTATATAAAAGTAACCATGTAGAAATTGTTATCTTTATTTTCATTTTAAGAATTAGTGTTATGATATTTTTTATTGATGTAGTTGCTTCTTCTAATTAAAATTCTATCCTGAAACTGTATTTTTGTTTCTCTGTCAGCTAGTACTGAAAAAAACTACATAAAAGTTATGTAGCAGCTTCAAATATAGGTTCTAGCATAGATTTGCATGGTTTCTGTCACATATTGAATCGATAACGTTATATATAACATGAAAGCGATAAGAGAATTATTTGACCACCCGAAACTTGGGGCACGAATAAGCATTACATGTCAAATCTGTTTTGCACTACGTACGAGATATATAGTCAATATTTTGTACATCTTGGTTGTGCTTTTATCTTGTACAGTTTGTGATTGATACTGCAGATTTGCAATATCTTGCAAAATTTTTATATTTGAAAGGTTTCCTATGGTGATAGGAAGTAGATTTTATTCTTCGATCTTGAAGTTTTGTTTTGCTCCATTGAAATTGTTTTTCTTGAAATTTCTGAAAGGATTACTCTCAAGAGTAAACTTCTCTTTATTGAAAGATGGTTCATGCTCTTGAGCGTTGAAGGATGACACCTGAATTCTATCTGATTCAGTAATAAGATAAAAGTAGGTTGTATGCATTTGAAAATCGTTTAATTCTAATAACTAAAACTGATGCTAAGATGATTTTAAACTTTTAATTGCAACAAAAGGGAAAAATAGTTGATACTTTTTCTATTCTTTTGTATACTTATTTGTATACTTTCGTATACTTTTAAAAGGTATTGATAAGATATTGATGTAATAGGGAAATATAATATGAAAATAACAAAATAAGCAGAAAGAGAAAGAAGACAAAATTTTTGAGGAAAAAGAAAGAAGTACTAATAAGATATAGTAATTCTTATTAATATTCAGACACCATACTGGAGAGATTGTTCTAAAAATATATGTTTACAATTGTTTTTCGATATGTTAAAATATTTATTAATAGCAGCATAAATATTATTTATTTCTAATAGTCAAATTTTTAAAATTTTACATGCATTTGATACGTATGTATATATATATATATATATTTTAACAAAATTAATATAACTTGTTCTTCATATTATTTCCGTGAGTTTAAATCTCTCTTATTATTTCGTTTAATACTTCTTATAATCTTTGTGTATGAAATAAATGAATAAAATTCCACCAATTGTAATAATTGTAATGTATTTAAAAGCAATCAATTCAAAACGAGTAGTAGAATAATATTCTCTCTCTAATATTATCGTAATGACTGAATATTACATAATAAAAATCACTGTAACTTAAAGTATAAAGTTTAATTATTAAAAACTTATTGTTAGAGAATACACACATTGGAAGATTTCGAACAATTTCAAAATATCACATGTCTATTTGTACGAGCTGGCCATATTTAACATTCACGGGAAATAATCTTCTACAGCGTTCTGTTTTAATACAATTTTCTTCCATTTCAACGCCCTCGACGTGTCAAATTAATCTTCGATCTATTTTTATCGTGCATTAAAATTTTTACACCCGCACGATGTTTCCTTTTGTGTCGCGTGCAGTAGAAACGCGTCACCGTGGCAGCCTGAGAACAAACAGCTTTTGTACCGGGGTAGCTAATTAATTTCTCATTGTGCTAATTTACGACGATAGCAGCTTACAAGGCCGGTATTTCGTAATTAGTGCCTAAGCACAAAGAAGCAGATAGAAGGACATAGGGATCTGAATGAAATACACCAATGGGACGTTATAAAATCCGTATACTTGCATACTTTCTACATTTACAGATATCTATGCGTCGATAAATACAGGCAAGATACCGTAATGACAAAAGGAAGACTATTTCCTACGATCGATTATTATTGTTGGTGGGCTTCTACGAAATGGGATCCGAATTATATTTGTGTACGCGTTTTATGTTCGTTTCGATCAAACAGATTCCCACTGTTGTCGTTATTTAGGCAAATAAATATCATTGTTTTCTTTTATTTTCGTTCGCTTTGTTAGCCGAGCGATGTACATGAATTATGCAGTCGTATGTGCGTATGGTATGCACAATTGTTCGATTACAATGCAATGGAAATGTGCGAATAAATGTATTATTCGGATGACTCGTGACTTCGATATTAAAATAGCAATATTTCCGTTTTTCCGCGTTACATTATAGAGACAAAATTGAAATTAAAAATAGTTCTCTTCTTGATCTAGCTCTACATTTATTAAAGCTTCTGTGTGTTATATATCAAAATTTCTTGGATTAATAACTGTAAATATATGGCATTGTACTCAATAATATATGTACATTCCTCGTTCAAAAGCCTTAGGACAATTATTTCACTTGTTTCAAAATTAGAAAATTAATTTATACGGCAAAGGAATTACATTGTAAAATACATGTGCAATTGAAAAAAATTTCATTATCTACGGCAAATACTGCGTTTTCTTTCGATAAATATGAAAACCACAAAGTGTCTTAAGACTATTGAGCTGGAGTGTATATATACAAATAGCGTCATTTCAAGTAACATCTCCCGAATAATAAGAATATTCGCATGTTATATATATTATTTAATTGTCATCAAATCATGAGAAAAATTCGATGATGTTCGCGTGATTGCACGTTTCGTATAAATTAGGTGAATGTGATCGATGTCGATAGCGCCATTAAATAAATCACAGTGATCCTCGTTACGATCACGAAGGCTGTTCTGTTTAACGTTCATTCGCCGATCTTTACGTCCTCGATGTTATCTTTCTTCCAATTAGCCGGGGCTGGTAATTTCCGATTGCTGCGATCCAAATTGGTTCTAGTTTTGAAGCATTTTCGGCAAGTCAATCGCCAGAACGCAAGCCGAAAGTCGGCCGAGTAGAAGGCATAGATGAATGGATTTATAGCCGAATTAATCCACCCTGAAACAAGTGAAAACATTATTAAACAATTTAATGTATAATAACTGTTCGTTTATGTTCTTTTTTCTTTTAAATGATCAGTATATTGTTCTGTTTCATGTAAAGTTTCATGTGTAGGAAAATCAAACGTCAACTTGTCAATTGTCGAATTTTAAATATTTAGAGGAAATTAAGGATTTTAAATATTTTATTTATTAGACACTAATTTATTTGTTAATTAAAATTATAGATTCAGTCAGTCGGATGATAATACTTTTTATATATTTTTACTTATTTGAAATAAATTTTTCCGTTCGCATATCTGGCTATAATCTGAAATAATAATTTGATGTGCTAGATTTTGTTGATTAGTTGATTGTGCCTTTCAAAGAGAAGAAAACTTTGTTTTATCGAAAAATTTAAATAATTCGGGAGGGAATATTTAGAGTATATGTTTATATAATATTAAAGAGCGTAATACATGTTTGTTATTATTGTAATTATAACCAGAATAAGTTTTATTTGCTTTATGTGTTATAATTTTCGTAAAATGATGTTTTTAGTTCATTCATATATTTTTTTTTAAACAAATGCAAAAAATATCATCAATATTTTAGAATTGGTCTAATTTTAATAAAACTCTATAAAACGTAAAAAAACCTCTTCTATTTTAAATATTTGAAATTTTTGTGATTGCCTGCACATTAAAATTGATGACACAATGACAAAATAGAAATAGGACAATCGTATATAATTTAATAGATTATAGTATGAAATGTGAAATATTATGGAGTGGAAATAGTAAAACAAAAACAAAGTAGAGTTCTACATGAAAAAATAAACAAGAAATTTGATATCAAACTTTTTCATTCGAGGCTTTGTTTCCGAGAAAATCGAGTTTGAAAATTTATCAAGTATACTTGAGTGTGGCTAGTTTTGGACTGGATAGAAGCCAGTGATCGATCGAGTAAAAATGAAAGGAAAATGCAGAATAACAGTTTTTCATAGAACATTCCGTTCTATGGGAAATAAAATTTGAAAATTTACCGTATATATTGTATCTGAACAATTCAATATACTCAAACTCGTATGATACAATGTTATGTAAAATATTAAGTCAAGTTAGTTCTTTCATAAAATAAATTGAAAACTGGGAATAAAATTTATTTCAATAAAACTTTATCTTTGAAAGAAAGGAATTTTAAAAATTTGCTAAGTAAATTTTGTCGTGTATCTTCCTTTCTGCTCATACTGATAAACGAGATTAACTATAGTTTTTATTGTAGTTTATTACTCGTGATCCTTCCAATTTGTTATCGACATAATCTATCGGTTTATTTCAGTTTGTTGTTATTATAGCTAATCGTATATACCTGATATATTTTAAAATCGATATTCTTGAAAATGAAACCTTATTTATATATATATAATAATTCTATTCCTTATCTTCAATTTACCTTTCTTTTTTATGAAGGAGATTCACATTATAATAATGTACCCGATATGCTCAATGTTCTCGAAATTTTTATGAATTTTATCACAAGATTGTTTCACAAACTTTTTCTTTCTTTCACCGCGTTTAGATCATATTCAGTTTTAATTTCTCACTTCGCATTATTAATATGTTAGATTTCTTATTAAAGTCTTTGGTAGAATTAATTTCTTTACTTTTCAAATATACCATGTGTAGTTTCGTTCATAAGAATTGAATAAACTCAAGTGAATTGTCAAAAAAATGATTAAAATATTTAAGAATCATCTCATTTGAAACTTGACACCATAAAAAATCCTCATATCCTCATATCCAGCGTTATAATTGTTATTAATCACTTATGTTCAATTAAATGAAATATCCGGATATTTTCAATGAAATTTACTTCGAAATAGTTGCTAAATCTACAAATAAACTTCTGCTAACTTTCATTTTACACCATTGGCACGAATCCAAATTATTCTTCAAAGTTCATGACATATTTTATATGGAACCAAGAGGAGCTCTGCTTCCGTATTTATGACTAAGGATCACTTGACGCATACTTTAATGAGAACCGCTTAATTCTAAAATCATAAACAAACCAGCCGTTCGCACAGTGCTCATGAACTGACCGCGATTCCGTGTCATGCACAAATTCGACTACTTTATGATAATTACCTAGCCAGGTTAGCGCAGGCATGAGAATATCTGGTGGTTCCACAGGCACGAAAGGGGTGACCAAGTAGAGGATGAAGAATGGCAACCAGCAGGCGACAAATCCACCTACGACCACTGCTAAAGTGGCAGCGGTTTTTGTCTCTCGCGCAACTCTGTTGATGCAACTTTGCTGATGACTGCGGACAATCCCGGACTTTTTACTGGTGCTAGGAGGCTCCGCATCGTCGGAAGCCCTGTCGCATATCACACTGCTGGTCACGCATTCTGTTTTCCGCACTCTGATGCTTTTCGCACGTTCGATCTGCAGGAAATTGACGATTAAAATTCTCATCAGTCGTAAATAGGATACAATAAGCAGCAACAAAGTACACATAGTATGTGTCTACCTTTAATTACAGAACTTTTTGTTTTCATAGATACACGGAAAGAAAATTTGAAGATTAGACAGAAGGGTTATAGTAACGAATTATAATACCACGATCATTTAGGGAATTTAAAGTCCAAGAAATGGAATGAATTTTGTTATTGCAAGTGTTCTGTAATGTACAAACGATATTTCTGGACACGGCATACATAAATTAATTTTATAAATTGTGAGGCAAAATCATGTATGTATATATGTATATATATATACCTACCTACATATGCATGCAAATTATACTACGAGTCGCTAAGTTTTTTTCATTTTCCTTTCTAATCTAAAATGTTATGTAAATTATTGTGTGATGAAACAATTATTTCAACAAATCACAAATCTCATGTCTTTTTTATTTCGTTAATAGTAGTAGTTGATAATAATTATGACAGATTATTATATGATCTGTCGAAAATTATTAAATCTTTTGAGAATTTTAACGTTAAATTCTTTCTGTAAGAGTAACACAAGTTTCCAATTATGTATGATAGAATTAAAGTTCCTTTTCGTTCACGTGTGCCGCGTTAGTGCTCCTTTTATATATAGGTATGTTGCTTGTATTCGATATTACGATTCCTCAGATTTAGATTTTGTTGAAAATATTTCTCGGTATTATCTCAGTGAGATTTAAGTTAGATCAATACATAGTCGTTAATTAATTGCTTTCACGTAATAATTAATTACTTTCACATAATTCCTCCAAGCAGTTTTCTTATTATAAATTTTTGTTATTCGGTTTCTTCTGTATAAGTACAAAATTCTCGTCTTAATATTCGTCTTAATCATTCCTCTGACAATCATGTTTATATTTTGTATAAAATCAGAAAGTGTTTTGATGTTTTTGACTTCTCATATACTTATAACTTATTAAACTTGGTAATAAGATTATTTTACATGTTGTTTGATGTTGAAGTGAAAAGATATTGGAGTTCTGGAAGAGCAGTGACACAATTTATTATGATATTTATAATTAAATTGCGGAAACAATGGTCTATAAAATTGGAGGAAAGTAATTACAAGCATACTTTAATTACCTCTCTTTACAGAAAATTTTTATTCATAGGAGATTAGTAGTTTACTCAGACTGTTCCAATTTTCCACTTGTGAACAAATTGCTTTTCGTTTATTTTTGCGTTGTTTTTTTTTGAACAAAACACTGACATATGGATCTTGACCTACGGAAATTGATCCATTTATTAAGCTTTTGATTTGCTGTGCAAACCTGTTTGATCTAGAGATTAATTATAAATTTACAATCTAAAAGATTTTTCAACATTTCGATTAAGTAATGGTGAAAGTTTAAAGGAAAATTGAGCTATAGATTTCCCTGAAATGAAAATTTCTCGGTTGGCACTGCGCCATTTTTCGATGTTGAAAAATGTCTGTTGCCTGATCATTTGAATATTTGAGCGAATTCATATGGCACAGTTACAATGGAAAAAGAAATTGGAAATTATATAAATGATTCTTGTAGAGCACAAATAGTAGTAAATTACGCACGTCGTTTCATAATGACGACCATATTTTCTTGTAACAAATCGATTGAATCATATCGATAAAAATTTTGTTTTTTATTTGAACCATTCCTATAATATCAAGATATGAATATTAAATTAATATAATTGCTTTCCCTATTAATGATATTATATTAATTATTGATTATTGATATTAGATACGTTATACTTTATTCTAAGAGAATTCTAATTAGTTATGTTATATTCTATTATATGTATAATATATTTTTTTTTATTATTATGTGCATTCCACAAATTTTTACATCTTTTATTTCGTAAATGTATAAATATTCGCAATTCAATTGTAATATTTCATTTTCTCTGAAAATCAACTGTTTGCTTTTCCCAAACTTTATTAACATTAATCGATTTTTATAACATTATCCTTCAAAGATATTAAATTCCAATTAGCTCATTAATTTTTTAAACGCTTCATGAAAATATCGTGGAAAATAGGGTAGAGAATTTTTGGTGTCACTGTCGAAACCAATATCGAGCAAGTCTACCCTTCCATATTCATGAGTTTCGCATTACGTACTGGAAATCTGTCGAACGGTGTCATCGTAACAGGTTTGTAAGCATTAGTATCAATAGATTCAAATTGCGAATCGATTTCTCATTTATACACGCTCGTCGGTCTTTCCGAGCAACCTGATTCATTGCAGTTTACTAATTTCAGCGAGTTCTGAAAATTGTAGAAGTTCAACATTTTACTTGAGACACTTATTTCGTCGTTTGGAAAAATTTCGTTTGGCTTAGTCGCTTATACAGAAGTATATATGTTAATTAAATATTAATTAAATATTAGTTTGTAATATATAAAGTAAAATCTTATTGTTTCATTTTCTTTTTAGAGTTTACACATTCATAAAGTATTATCAGTATAGTTTATAAATCAGTTTGAAAAAACTCAGTAGAGTAAGATATTTTTATAACGTATCGAAATATTAATAAAACGTTGAACATTTTTATCATGTTGAATCTTGTATTTTATTTTTATACATTACAAAATCATTAAGTGTATTTCTCTTTCTATTTAGAAAATCAATTTGAAAAGAACTCGATAAAATAGATTTTTGTAATAGTAAAGAAGTTATGATAAAATTAGCAAGCGATAGAAAAAGAAATTTGAAATTTGCAGAAATTCATTATTTCACGTATAGATAATAATTCGGACAATTTTTATAAAAATATAGCGTTCAGAATATAATATGAAAACGAGTGGCAGCTTTAGAGAGACTAGAAGCAAGTACAGCCTTTAATCGCGGATTTAATGTCATCTTTTGCGTAAAAAAATTAATAAATTGTGAAAACAAAGGAAACCATGTGTGATCAAATATATTGTGAATAACAATAATCTTTATGCATCAATATTATTCTCTGCATTTCAATCTCAAAATTGAATAGATTTATTTATTACGAACAGAAATTTATATCAGATTAGTTATAACTGCATAAATTAGTGATAGTAACACTGAAAAGTATAAAGGGATCGTTTCATACGATATATTAGATTGTACAATCATATCGTGACAAGTCTGAAATGACTACAATTCGATTGAAATTTCATATTTGTAGCAGGAATATTGGATATTCAGAGAATTTTAATGATATAAAATTATCCTAATTAATTTTTCGGATTTTAGAGAATGTAACATTACGTGCTAGAATTTTCTTATAGAACAATAAAAAATATAAAAATGAAGGAATAAGCATGTCATTCGATAAATTCATATTCTAATAACTAAACTCATATTCTAACTAATAATTTGTAAGTATTTAATAAATAGATTTAATACAAAAGTGATAGTACTCAACCTGAAAAAAAAGAAAGGCGAGTGAATTTATTTCTAGTATTATGCCTAATACTATGTTATTGAAAACATTATCTTGTAAATTGAACGATCTACAGAATTTCTAAAATAATTAGAACTTTTAATTTAAAAAATTGAAAAGAATTTCAGGTTAATGTGAAGCATTACGGGAAGACTAATGTTTCTCACTTCTATGTGCATTATTATACCTACATTTACATTTTGTACTAAATCGATTCTCATTTTCTCAAAAGATATATCAATTATTCATCCTGTCTAAAAACATGAAACAAAACAGAAACATTATTTTTTTAATATAAAAATAAAAGTCCCTCATGTACTTTTCATTTTCGAGCAATTTCTATTTTTTCAAAGAATTAAAAAAAAAAAAAAAATGACGTGTCGGAGCAAATTTTTGCAGAAAGAATGCTTACCAAAATATTGCGCCGAGGTCGAATGTTTTCGCTCTCGGTGGCTTCGAGGTTTCTGTGTCTGCTGGCAATCACGCAGGATATTCTGCCATATACGTAAAGCATTACCAACATTGGTAGGAAAAACGAACCCATCGCGGAAAATATCACGTATGAAGAGTCCATGTTGTACGAGCATTTTTTAGTGTCACGATTCGTTGCACGTGGGAAGCATCCGAGCAAGGGGGGACTGGTGATAGCGCCAGCTAACACCCACACCGCGACAATCATCAATCCAGCTAGTCTTTTGCTTCGTCGTCGTCGGCTGTATATCAGCGGTTGAGTGACGGCTAGATACCTTCAACGAAAATTAAATCCATTTGAGAAACACGTGAGAGGAGATAAACTACGATTTAAGTTCCTGCTTTTTTCCCTTTCTTTCCTTTCTTTTGAAATAAAAATAGTTCCATCTCGCTTCGTCTTTCATAATTTTAATGTGAATTAAGAACAGCGCGATTCAGATGTAAAAAGAAATTATATAATTTTTGAAAACAGAATTACAATGACAGAAGTATTGCATTTACATGGAAAAAGTTAAAGGAAAAGCGATAACATTTATAATTCGGGGAGAACCGCGAGTAAAGTTCAATTTAATTGAATTCAGTATAGATCAATTTGATTGAGGGTTAATTCTTGTAGGTCTGCAGTTCTAATAAATTTTAAAAGTACTTTCACATGTTTACAAAGAATATAGAGAATAATGAATAAAGAATACAGATAATTCTTCCTGGTTTAAACGTTTAATTAAATAACATTAAAATACTTTACTTCGCAATATATATAAATTATAGGAATATAAATTATACATCGAATTTCAAGTTAAAATGCCAATGACACGTAAAATTCAAAATCAATGTCTCGATCTTAATTTATCAAAGATTATAATTTATATACATTCAACAGAAAAGAAAGCAATAATTTAAACGTATCACACAATTAAATATTTTTCATACATAAGTTTGTTCCAACACACTATTTACCAACGTGAAATTTAAAATTCGTCTCGTTGAACGAGTTCAAACTTCAATTTTTATAATCATTAATCCGTATAGCGAATAAATCACGTCAAACGTCAACGAAAATATTTTACTTTTTATTCATTACTTGTTTGCACATCGCATCGTAAGTACCGGAGAATTTCTAATTTCCAACGACGCGAGGCAGCTACATTTCAATGGGTTAAGCACCGATCGATACAAATCGCACGGAAAAGCTGGGACGTGATCGGCCGGTTAATTTCTCAAACGAAATCGTGTCCTCTCGGTTGCAGAAAATTTTAAACGCAGTGAACGAAAATTTTAAACGATTCCGTTTCGCCGAGGCGAGGGGACCGGAACCTCTCCACCTCGGGACTAAACGGGAAACTTCGTATTTCCGGGATTCCGCCAACGGCCTACCAACAGCATGTTGGACACTCTATTCTCGCGCGCAGTAAAAAATGTCCCGCGGTAATCTCGTTCCATTTACGTGACGTGATTCGGGAATGCGGCCCCGCACCAACGGACTCACCTGTCTATGGATATAGCGCATAACGATAGGATGCTGGCAGTACAGAGAAGAACATCGAGAGAGACCCACGAGTCGCAGAGCACCTCGCCCAACTCCCAGGTACCACCTGTGAGCTTCGTCAAATTTATTTTAGTAGGCATCTCGTTCGAAATTCGCGTGCTCGTTAATGGGTGCTTAAACGTGCAAGAACTTGCGATCAACGTTCCGAGGACTGTATACGCGTACAGTGGCGATATCGCAAGCTGAATGGGAAATTTGTTGGCAGATTTTTAAAGGATTTTTTTTTAATATAACGTGTGCAATTCGAAATTTAAAATGTAATTTTTATATCTTGTCATACTGTTACATCTTTGTTAGCTGTTTAAATAATTGCAGCAATTTGCAATTATGCAGCAGCTTAAACCGATTTGGCAACCTTTAGCTGATGCGAACGATTGACTCAACTTTTTTCTGGAAAGGTTTTTCGATTACATCACATAACGCGAACACCTTGTATATTCCGTTTAAGAAGTTATACTAAATTTTTAGCGTCGTAGCTACCACTAAAATGGGACACACTGTATATTCTGCTATTTATTATGGCTACACATGTACAGTAGTGACAACAATGTGTTAAGATTGATGGAGTTCTTCTGTATGTGAAATCAGATGAAATAGATGAAGCGTAGTCTTTTCTTTCCTTGGAAGAAATTCAAGATTCATAGTGATGATGTTGCATCAGACATCTACGTTTTCAGTCTACCACGATATTCACCGGTTAGATATACGCGTTTATAGTGCTTAAAAGGGTTAAACGGCTGCGAGCTGCCCGTCAAGCTGACGAGTATACATGAGCGTGCAAAACTTGAACCTCATTCTGGCGTTGATTGCTTCATGAATTGTGCGTAATAGAAATTTAGTTGGTGTAAGAAACGTGACGGTGTTGTAAAATTGATTAAATATTGGATACTGAAATACTTAAGAAAAATATCATCTTTAAAATAATAATGTTTGAAATAGTAACCTTCATATGATTAAGTTTCAATTTTACTTTTTTTTTTAATGATTGGAATTTGTAGATCATTAATTTATTCATTATTATTAACAATTATTAATTTAAAATTAGATAGAGTTGTAAGATGTAGAATTGTCTCGATGGTTCATTGAAAACTTGAAATTGTTTCTTTAAAATACTTTATTTATCTTTCAGCAATGTAGATTCAAAATGAACGATTTAACTAAATAATAATATATATTTTATCATTTAGATTTTTTACGTTTCTGTATCAGATATCAGAAATACGTTCTTGTAACTTTTCTATGAGATAAATATTAATGTCTTTTGAGAATTATAATTCGTGCTAAAGACATTTTTAGTATTTTAAAATTTTTCATACATGCATAAAAATCTGCAATCTAATTATTATACATCTCATAGAATATCTCTGTATTGAAGCATATGCATGAATTTTTTTCTTTTAATTTCACAAACTATACGAGTATTTGTTTTTCTAACTCATATTCCAAATATTTCAGAAAAAACCACATATAATATAAATATACGAACAAACCACAATTTTATGAAACGTTATTTGAATTTCTATCAAAGCACGATTATACTTACAGCACTTTATAAAATTAATAACTGCAAACGATTCCGACATTTTTGCTAATTTTACAATCTCGTTAAATTTCTGCTACCCAACTTTACGAAATAGTGGCATGTTGTACGGGCAGCAGGTGCTGACCCGCATCATTGGAACTAATCTTAACCCTTTGGTTACTGAAACTTTCATCTTACAGCTATTGTACAATAGAATGAAATATAAAGCATTTCGTTTATAATAAATACTTTAAGAGAAACGTAACTATTTGAACGTGTAACGTCCTAGGACTAAGATAAAACGAATTAAATTGAAGAGAGTTTATATAACTTGTAAACAGAGAGATTGTACATTTTTATGTATTTATAGGAAATTTGTAAAGTCTAAAGTTGCACGAAATGCACATAATATTAAAACATACGCAAAATATCCGGAGCGCTATACTTTTTAACCGAGATTCTACATTTTTAATTATATCCTTAAAGATACAAATTTTTGTAAGAAACTGGTCTTATCATCTGCTGGTGATGAAAAACATTAGTTTCAAATTACTGACGTTGTTTTGCATATTAATACTCGACTTCTATTATGTGACGTTATAACTGGTATTACTTATGAAAGTAATAATATCAATAATAACATTAAAATTAATAAGTTAGTATTGCATCGTGTCTTTATTATCCTTGTTCATCAACAAGTTAGGAACTCATTATTGGTAATTAGAATTTCTTATTATATCATATTTAATGAAATTTCTTGGATCACGAAACTTGAATCAAAGAAACAAATGCAATTTAAAAAAGAATCGGTACGAAGTATCTTGATTAAATGAAACGTGAAATGAAGAAAATTTATGTTTCTTTAATATCTGCCACACAGATGTTACTGTCGCGCGGCAACGCCATTCAATTTGTACGAAAGTGATTCACTGAATACTTGCAATAGTTTCTAAGAGAGCTCTCATCAGAAGTGATGCTCTTATTTTTACGACAATGAACAATTATTCGTTTCATGAATTAAATTCACAGAAATTCGTTGATAAAACAAATTTCTTTTCATCTATGGAAAACAGAAAAAAATCTTAACTATAATATTCAGTTTTATTCATTAATGTTTGTAGTTTTTATTACATTCATTTAAAAGAATTAAATAAATATTCTAGAGAAACATTCTTAACAATTCATTACCGCAGAAGACGAGACAAATATTTACAATAGTAAAGAGCTATTAAAAGGAATAACATTTAAATTTTTCTTAACTTTCGTTACAAATTTTTCAAATAATTTAATAATATTATCTTTGCTCGATTTCCTCTCGTGTAAATAATAATTAGATTGCAGATTTTTATTTATTTTAGAAAACATTTTAAATTTTAAAACAAAATTGCACAGGATGGATACATAACGTAAAAAAGAAATGTATAAAATATCCATCAGTATAGTATGTGAAACAATTCAATTTTTTAAATTGTATTTTCAGAAATACGAATTATAGATATAGTAGTAGTATAATTATAGTTGTTGAATGTAAATTTAATAACACAAGTAACTTCATAACAATAGCATTTAATTAATTATATTTGATGTTGGTTGAAACACTGAAATAAATATTAATATGCAAAGTAATGAGGAATCAAATCAAAGAAATCTCGTTTTCGTCATCGCCAAATATCCTTTTTGACACAATGAACCAACTGTTTTTTTTTTTTTTTTTTCTTTCATTATTTCTTAACACCCGGCAGTGAATTACTCGTTTGGGATAATTGAAATGCAGGGAAAGTGAATTTTTATGCGAGGGAAAGAGAATGTTTAATCTAGAGGTATAGAGATACGAATAATGTTTGGACCAAGTATTTGAGATTGTGCTGGGAAAGTTTTGAAGTGACGTGACTGAATATTTCCTACGAAGATTCTCGGAGTTTGTCTGGATCAAGTGTGAAAGATAGGTAGACGGATAGAGAAGGAGAAAATGCAAATGTACATATGTATGTATATTGGGAAAGACGCATATTCGACTTCGCCTCTAGCAAATCCTTCGAGAATTTTTCAAAAAGAATTTTAAGAATACATAGACGCATCACGAGTCTAACAATAAGTTACAGAAATAGAGAGAGAAAGAAAGACGCAAAAGGAGAAGAGAACATACGTATGTATATAATATCTTTATATTTTTATGAGAAAAAATATACGTTTCTGAGGGGATTTTAAAAAGTAGAAAGATTTTTACTTTACGACAGGACTGCGTCAGGAGTCTTAAGTTAGAGAAACAGTTAGATCAATATTACAGAGATAGGAGTATGAGAAAATGCGAATATTGCAAAAATACATGTTCGAAACAGCCTTTAATGAATATTTGGGGAGTTTTAAAAAGTTATATTATATCATTAGTTTTATTCTGAATTTAACTAATATTTAGTAACATTGGACAAAGTATTATTATTATTTTTATTTATGTATTATGTATTTATAGTTTTGTATCTATTTATTTTATTATCAAACTTCGTATGGAAGAGCATTTTTTAATAGTGTAACTTGTTATTTGTTGTCTGTAAGTCTAGATTTAATTTGAGACAAGTGGAGGAAAGCTTGTGCTATAAATAAATAAAAATCCTCTGTTTAATTATTGTAAATCAAAGTATCCACACACTTACAAATGTTAATATACTATATATATGTACATATGAGATGTGTATGATCAAACTGCATACTTTTACATAATTACGGAAACGGAATTTAAATAGAAATTTCTAAATTACTAAATATTATAATAAATACTCTTTTTGGATATTTAATATAGATTGGCAGACAGAGGAAATCCAAAATTTAAAACGCAAATGACACGATATAATTCATAATTTTATAAAATGGATTTATAAAAATTACAATACATATTTAACAAGTACAATGCATAGATGTCCAGTGAATGTTTCATAGAAAAGTTATTATTTCACATTATTGTGTGTGTGTATGTACTATTATACGTACCAATATGATATAAACAATTTTAAACTTTCTTTTGTCCGCCACTGTATATTTTTGCACACTCTGTGTACAACGTATGCATTTCTGCACTTTCAGAAACACAGCAGCCTAGTAATGACCCAATTTATATAATGACCGTAGTCATCAGTAATACCTACAGGCTGTTTTCGGATGACGACTAAAGTCGACATAACAAACAGAAGAGTTAAAGTGGACCATCCGACAAACAAGAGTAGAGTCGGCTGGCCTGTGTACCGCGAACGCTGTGAGACGCGCGCGAATTTTCGTTAGCTTTGCAAATGATTCCGTGAAGTGTCTCAGGGAGCATGGATATTTGAAGGTTTATTTTCGTTCATTTGCCCTTGTCGTGCAAAGGCGGTGTTCCATTTCAATCTGTAAATGGATGGAGGAGAAAGTGTGTGTTGTAAGCTTCGTCCGATACAATTGAACTTAACGGGTCAGGGTTGGATAGATAAAAAAGGAAGCCAAGCTCTTTCGAGATCGTTCTTATTTTCCATCTGATCGAGTTTGGTGGTATCGCACGTTGAT